TTGCAATGCCAGGGTTGTGGGTTCGATTCCCACGGGGGGCCAGTATGAAAAAAAAAAAAAAAAATGTATGCACTCTGCTAAATGACTAAAATGTAAAATGTGTATAAAATCGAGCGCACCGCAATGCAATCTCCGTAGTCAAACATTGGCAGTAGAATGGCCTTACTGAAGACCTCAGTGACTTTCAACGTGGCACTGTTATAGGATGCCACCTTTCCAACAAGTCAGTTCGTCAAATCAGTTCATCAAAAATCGTCTGTCCTCAGTTGCAACACTCTGGAAGCGACGTCAGCACAATAACTGTTAGTTGGGAGATTCATTAAATGGGTTTCCATAGCCGAGCAGCCGCACAAAAACCTAAGATCACCATGCGCAATTCCAAGCGTCGGCTGGAGTGGTGTAAAGCTCTCCGCCATTGAACTCTGGAGCAGTGGAAACGCCTTCTCTGGAGTGATGAATCACGCTTCACCATCTGGCAGTCTGACGGACGAATCTGGGTTTGGTGGATGCCAGGAGAACGCTACCTGCCCCAATGCATAGTGCCAACTGTAAAGTTTGGTGGAGGAGGAATAATCGTCTGGGGCTGTTTTCATGGTTTGGGCAGTGAAGGGAAATCTTAACGCTACAGCATACAATGATATTCTAGACGATTCTGTGCTTCCAACTCTGCGGCAACAGTTTGGGGAAGGCCCTTTCCTGTTTCAGCATGACAATGCCCCCGTGCACAAAGCGAGGTCCATTCAGAAATGGTTTTTTGATATCAGTGTGGAAGAACTTGACTGGCCTGCACAGAGCTCTGACCTCAACCCCATCGAACACCTTTGGGATGAATTGGAAAGGCGATTGCGAGCCAAGCCTAATTGCCCAACCTCACTAATGCTCGTGGCTGAATGGAAGCAAGTCCCCGCAGCAATGTTCCAACATCTAGTGGAAAGCCTTCCCAGAAGAGTGGAGGCTATTATAGTAAAGGGGGGGGACCAACTCCATATTAATGCCCATGATTATGAAATGAGATGTTCGAGGAGCAGGTGTCCACATACTTTTTATCATGTAATGTATTTTTCCAAAAGTTGTCGTTAAATGGAAAAAAAATACAGATAGCATGGCTAGTTGGGGGTTTATCAGTTCTATATGTATGGGTATTCCTATAGTTTTTCCCCCTCCAAATATACAGCGCATTCGGAAAGTATTCAGACCCCTTGACTTTTTCCACATTTTGTTACGTTACAGCCTTATTCTAAAATGGATTAAATTGTTTTTTCCCGCTCATCAATCTACACACAACACAAAGCAAAAACAGTTGTATTTTTTTTATTTAGCAAATGTATTAAATAAAAAACTGAAATATCACATTTTCATAAGTATTCAGACCCTTTACTCAGTACTTTGTTGAAGCACCTTTGGCAGCGATTACAGCTGTTCTTCTCTGCAGATCCTCTCAAGCTCTGTCAGGTTGGACGGGGAGCGTCGCTGCACAGCTATTTTCAGGTCTCTCAAGAGATGTTTGATCGGGTTCAAGTCCGGGCTCTGGCTGGGCCACTCAAGGACATTGCGACATGTCCCAAAGCCACTCCGGTGTTGTCTTTGCTGTGTGCTTAGGGTCGTTGTCCTGTTGGTAGATGAAAGTTTGCCCAAGTCTGAGGTCCTGAGTGCTCTGGAGCAGGTTTTCATGAAGGATCTCTCTGTACTTTGCTCCGTTCATCTTTCCCTCAATCCTGACTAGTCTCCCAGTCCCTGCTACTGAAAAACATCCCCACAGCATGATGCTGTCACCACCATGCTTCACCGTAGGGATGGTGCCAGGTTTCCTCCAGAAGTGACGCTTGGCATTCAGGCCAAAGAGTTCAATCGGTATCATCATACCAGAGAATCTTGTTTCTCATGGTCTGAGACTCCAAAAAGCTGTCATGTGCCTTTTACTGAGGAGTGGCTTCCGTCTGGCCACTCCACCATAAACGCCTGATTGGTGGAGTGCTGCAGAGATGGTTGTCCTTCTGGAAGGTTCTCCCATCTCCACAGAGGAACTCTGGAGCTTTGTCAGAGTGACCATCGGGTTCTTGGTCACCTCCCTGACCAAGGCCCTTCCCCCCGATTGCTCAGTTTGGCCGGGCGGCCAGCTCTAGGAAGAATCTTGGTGGTTCCAAACTTATTTCATTTAAGAATGATGGAAGCCACTGTGTTCTTGGGGACCTTCAATGCTGCATAATACCCTTCCCCAGATCTGTGCCTCGACACAATCCTGTGTCGGATCTCTACGGACAATTCTTTCGACCTCATGGCTTTATTTTTGCTCTGACATGCACTGTCAACTGTGGGACCTTATATAGACAGGTGTGTGCCTTTCCAAATCATGTCCAATCAATTTAATTTACCACAGGTGGACTCAAATGAAGTTGTAGAAACATCTCAAGGATGATCAATGGAAACAGGATACACCCGAGCACAATTTCAAGTCTCATAGCAAAGGGTCTGAATACTTATGTAAATAAGGTATTTCTGTGTTTTACATTTAATACATTTGCAAACATTTCTAAAAACCTGATTTTGCTTTGTCATTATGGGGTATTGTGTGTAGAGTTTTATTTATTTAATCAATTTTAGAATAAGGCTGTATTGTAACAAAATGTGGGGTCTTAATACTTTCCAAATGCACTCTTTCATTTCATTCTCTCCCTCCCCTAAAGCAGAGGCTGCAAAGTATATCCTTTTCCATTACTGAACAGACAGCATAAATACTCTTGTCCCCGTCGTGTAGTAAAATGTACACTCTCCTATAATAAAATTGGCATCAAACGCACTCCTACAAATATTGTTTTAAATCGTCTTTGTCTCGACTAGCAATTTACTTTGGTTTTATGTTTGCTGGTCGTGTCAAGTCATGCAACGCTATTGGCTAATTCGTAAGAAGCTCCGCCCCATGTTTGAGATTTTCTGTCTATTTAATTGGTGCAAATCGAGGCGTTTAAATTCGAAATCTACTGGCCACTTGCTTAGCAAGCCGATTTCGAAAAAGTAAACTGTGTGTGGAGTTCGTTGCCGACAAGATACATTATTTTATGTTTATCCGACTCCTTGATTGAGGTATGTAGCTATTTGGCTGCTTTTTAATTGTTCCTCTGACTTGGTCTATTGCGCAAAATGTCTTCGTTAATTTGATGCATCTATTCATGTAGCCTGACGCTAGCGATTTACTTAACGTTGGCTAGCTACCTAAATTACATAAAGTTAACCAGCTAACTGACTTTAGTTCCCTCCTACTAGCCCATTCATAGACGCTAACTAGTTAACGTTACCTTGTTAATGCCCTGGCCTTGTGTTCTCGAGAGCAAGTTCCCTCCCATGTCACGTACTGGGATCAATACGGTATAATATAAACTGGTCATTTATATTAGGATAAACTGCCTCGCTAGGTAATTATGTTAGTTAACGTTATTTTGCTGAGTTATTGATGGTTGGTGTCAATCTAACCAGCAGCTGACAACGTCCGCTAGCTGTCTACGGTTAATTGGTATTGGCAAACGTGCTGATGAATAGCTAGCGAACGTTACTAGGTACCTAACGTGAACAAGATTCATTTGAATTGTTCGTTGTTAGCTTACTAGCTAGCTAACGATAGCTGGTATGCGATTGCCATTATTCATGCGCTGACCACATTATTTCAGACATTATTTCACTTCAACAAGTAAGCGTAAAACTCATGGCATTGCTCCAAACCTTACTGTACTAGTTAAATGTTCAGCCGGACCATCCACAAAAATGCTGCAGTCACGGTAACTTAGTTTAGTTGGCTATGCACCATGGGAAATTCATCTAGCCAAACTCTGAATGATTCCAAATGGGCTTTGCAGATTGGGTGTGCTCTTTGGCAGTCCAGGTGGATCCATCCAGTGTAGGGAGAAGTGACAAGCCCTGGAACTGCAGGCCACATTATGGTGTGAGGACATAGTGGGTAAATTGCTTGTACACATTGTCACCAACTCGGCACCCCATCATTCTTTGCAAGCCATGAAGTGTTGTCATGTCAACAATTCAGAATCTGGTAATATAAATGTAGCCTAGACCTCGGCTATCAATTCAAATGTCAGTAAACAAACTTTTTGAATGACCGACAACGCTTTGTGGCCTGATGTATAGCTATTTCTCCCAACTGGTAGCACGTGACCCTTTCACATTTTCTCTCCAAATTAATTGCACATTCAGACTTCTAGGGGTTGGTGATGTTTACATGTAGCCATTGTCAACAAGGATCCAACCGTGCACACTACACATACACTGAGTGTACAAAACTTTAGGAATACCTGGTCTTTTCATGACAGACTGACCAGGTGAAAGCTATCATCCCTTATTGATGTCACCTGTTAAATCTACTTCAATCAGCGTAGATGAAGAGGAAGAGACGGGTTAAAGAAGGATTTTAAAGCCTTGAGACATGGATTGTGTATGTGTGCCATTCAGAGGGTGAATGGGCAAGACAAAAGATTGAAGTGCCTTTGAACCGGCTATGGTAGTAGGTGCTAGGCGAACCAGTTTGAGTGTGTCAAGAACTGTAACGCTGCTGGGCTTTTCACGCTCAACAATTTTGGTGTGTATCAAGAATGTTCCACCATCCAAAGGACATCAGCCAATTTGACACAACTGTGGGAAGCATTGGAGTCAACATGGGCCAGCATCCCTATGGAATGCTTTCGACACCTTGTAGAGTCCATGCCTTAATGAATTGAGGCTGTTCTGAGGACAAAAGGGGTGCTACGCTATATTAGGAAGGTGTTCTTAATGTTTTGTACACTGTATAGCTAGATACAACCTTGAGGGGGTGTATATCTAGAGCTCAGATATGGGCTTCATCAATTAGATTGAATGGGCTTCTGTCTGGACTGCAGGCAGTGTAAGTGACGTCTGTGTGACGTGCTTCGCTCAGTCTTATCAGTGTGCCCAGCTGTCTACTGGGTGTGGCCAACTATTGCTTCAGCTCACTCACTTCTGTGTGCCTCTCTTCATAGGATGAGTTCTACTGCTGTTAACGATGAGAATCGTGGGATCTGCCCTGGAAGAAAGCACAGCAATACAGAGACAAGTTGTGACATCTTTTCCTTGGATCAGCCGACTGGGAGGCCATCCATCCTTCGCCAGTCTCAGGCAGAGAACCTGTCCAACAAAACTATAGCAAAGGGAGGGAAGGTAGTTTATAATGTTCCAGAATAATCTGTAAAATAATCGTGTTATTATGAGGACCTATGCTTGACTGTTTGAATAGTCTAGTAAAAAGCATGAACTGATGCACACCCAACATTTTTTGTAGAGGTGTTTACTCACGGAGAGTAAACTGTATGAAAAGAAAGTTGTTCACTCGATATGCAAGCAACAATTTAACCAGGTTAGGTTTACCCATTACATATATTTTTATTTGATTGTTTGAATAGAACTGTTGGTTTTTGCATTCAGGTTGGTTTTCAGACTCCAAGAAGAGACCCTCACACTAAGAGAATAGTATCACCAACAAAGTCTCTCAAGATGGCAAGCCTGGATGACTGTACGAAAGCCCTGGAGTCTTTGCAGCTTACAACACATGAAGTGTAAGCATATACTTTAAAAAAGCCTGTAGCTGTACGTCACATTGGCATGATGATTCATAATCTGGTATCAAGTTGAGAGATTGTAGGCTAATCTATCCTCTTGTATTTTTACAGGGTGTTGCCTCAGAAAATCAATGTGCCTGTTGATGCGCCAATATCAGGTAAAGCATTTGACTAAAGGTTCAAGATTCATTACCCGAAGCCGCTTTATGTCACCATTAATTATTTCAACCATAAAATGTTGACTTGATTTTGACTTGTTTTACTGCGGACTTCACAGATGTGTCATCCTATCCTGATGATAACATGCCAATTCAGAGTAAAGGAGGTTATCAGCTGGATTTTGATAACCTTGATTTCATCAATCCCTTCCAAGGGTCTGGTAAAATGGTCCTCTCTCCAGCAAGGCCCAGTGAACTAGTTGAAACCCCCAAGGCTACTGATCTGAGTGAACCTAATGTAATTGAGGCAGTTTCTCATGAGAAGATGTTAGAGGATTTTGACAAGATTGAAACGGCACCGGATGAGACGCTTCCCGTTCATGCCATCACTGGATAATTCTCTTGCTGACATCTCAGCCGATATGCGCTCAACAGATAGCAGTGTGATCACCATGACTAAGGACCCAGCCATCGAGTTATCCAACGCTGATGAGGACAAGACTGTACATTCATCAGTTGACCCAGATCAAGCTGTCCCCATTTCCTCTACAGTCATGGAAACTGTGGCCATCACCGAGGAGACTCCTCTGCTGCCCAAAGGTTCTTACATATTTGATTTTGACGACCTTGATTCAGTCAACCCTTTCCAAACAGGAGCCTCCAAAATTCAGAATTCCCCCGTACTTGGAAGAAAGCTGCCATGCAATGACCCTCCTCCAGAGGTGGAAGTTGAAGAGCCTGCGGTGAAGGAAATGGGACCAGCAGCCATGGTTCAGGTGGCTCAGCCAGTTGTAGAGGCACCTGTCCAGCCAGAGATGCGAGCTATTGCACCATTGTCACTTGCTCCCAAGGAGACGAGCCAGCCCGCTGAAGACTTCATGCCTCAGCCGGGTGAGGCCGCTCCCAATGCCGGCCCAGTGAAACTTGAGTTCAATTTCGATGATGGCGGAGAGATCAAGCGTAAGCCTCTTCCCAAAAGGTTTGGCAAAAGGCCTCCTGGTGTTAAGCCGACAGAGAAAAAGGCAGTACCTGAAGAAAAGAAAGAACCTGCTCTATCTAAGGAATCTCCAGTGAAGCCAGCGGTCAGTACTGATTCTGATATTCCTGTTCCAAAAGGCGCGTACAACTTTGAAAAGTTTGATGACCCACACTTCAATCCATTTGGTACAAATGCAAGAATGAGTGACTCTATAGTCTGTAAGGTGAAATCCAGTCCAGAGGCCAAGGCACCAACCTCAGTCAGGGTGTCTGCCTCCCCTGATAAAGTGGCAGAGCCTGTTCAGAAAGAAACTGCACCATGGCCATCGTAAGTTCATGTTCACTTTGCTGCCACTTTAATATTATATCAAATTAATTGATTAAAGGAAGTCTTGATTTATATTTAAAGCATAATCAGTTTGGTTGTGAGTGCTGTATAAAAATATATAACTTAAATTTAGCTGCACCACTCCATTAACTGGTGGTGACTCTATTTTCAGTGTTCTTCCTAGTGCTGGAGACACAATCTCAAGGACTGAACCGGATCTTTCTGCCACAAGAGAAGGAATTGTAAGCCTTTTTAAAACTAGCCAAAGCTCTATATCGATTGTAGTGACTACTTGGGTGACATTCATTCTCCAATCGTAGGACAACATTCCACAGGATCAGCAGCTTCAGATGAAGTCTTGTGAAGTTCAGGATCCTTCGTCTGGCAAAGAGCAGGAACCTCCAACTAAACCTGACCAACCTTCGCTGAGCACTCTAGAACCCTTCAAACTCTGCCAATTTGAGCAGAACCCACAGAATGGCATGTCAGAATTTAATGAGGAGTTTGTTCCTGGAACAACATGTAAGTCAAATAACTTTAGGCATGCATGTTAGTTGCTGTACATTTACATCATTTAGCAGACGCTCTTATCCAGAGCGACTTACAAATTGGTGCATTCAACTTATGATAGCCAGTGGGACAACCACTTGTTATGGGGTGGGGTAGAAGGATTACTTTATACTATTCCAGGTATTCCTTAAAGAGGTAGGGTTTCAAGTGTCTCCGGAAGGTGGTCAGTGACTCCGCTGTCGTGGGGGAGCTTGTTCCACCATTGGGGTGCCAGAGCAGCGAATAGCTTTGACTGGGCTGAGCGGGAACTGTGCTTTCGTAGAGGTAGGAGAGCTAGCAGGCCAGAGGTGGATGAACGTAGTGCCCTCATTTGGGTGTAGGGTCTGATCAGAGCCTGAAGGTAAGGAGGTGCCGTTCCCCTCACAGCTCCGTAGGCAAGCGCCATGGTCTTGTAGTAGATGCGAGCCTCAACTGGAAGCCAGTGGCGTGTGCGGAGGAGCGGGGTGACATGAGAGAACTTGGGAAGGTCGAACACCAGACTGGCTGAGGCGTTCTGGATACGTTTTGGGGGTTTAATGGCACAGGCAGGGAGCCCAGCCAACAGCGAGTTGCAGTAATCCAGACGGGAGATGACAAGTGCCTGGATTAGGACCTGTGCCACTTTCTGTGTAAGGTAGGGTTGTACTCTGCGAATGTTGTAGAGCATGAACCTGCAGGATCGGGTCACCGCTTTGATGTTAGCGGAGAACGACAGGGTGTTGTCCAGGGTCACGCCTGGGTCACGTTCTTTGCACTCTGGGAGGAGGACACAATGGAGTTGTCAACCGTGATGGCGAGATCATGGAGCGGGCAGTCCTTCCCCAGGAGGAAGAGCAGCTCCGTCTTGCCGAGGTTCAGCTTGAGGTGGTGATCCGACATCCACACTGATATGTCTGCCAGACATGCAGAGATGCGATTCGCCACTTGGTTATCAAAAGGGGGAAAGGAGAAAATTAACTGTGTCGTCTGCGTAGCAATGATAGGAGAGACCATGTGAGGATATGACAGAGCCAGGGACTTGGTGTATAGAGAGAATAGGAGAGGGCCTAGAACTGAGCCCTGGGGGACACCAGTGGTGAGAGCACGTGGTGCGGAGACAGATTCTTGCCACGCCACCTGGTAGGAGCGACCTGTCAGGTAGGACGCAATCCAAGAGTGAGCAGCGCCGGAGATGCCCAACTCGGAGAGGGTGGAGAGGAGGATCTGATGGTTCACAGTATCAAAGGCAGCGGATAGGTCTAGAAGGATAAGCGCAGAGGAGAGAGAGTTAGCTATAGCAGTGCGGAGAGCCTCCCTGACACAGAGAAGAGCAGTCTCAATTGAATGACCAGTCTTGAAACCTGACTGGTTTGGATCAAGAAGGTAATTCTGAGAGAGATAGCAGGAGAGTTGGCTAGAGACGGCACGCTCAATAGTTTTGGAGAGAAAAGAAAGGGATACTGGTCTGTAGTTGTTGACATCGGAGGGATCGAGTGTAGGTTTTTTGAGGAGGGGTGCAACTCTCGCTCTCTTGAAGACGGAAGGGACATGGCCAGCGGTCAAGGGTGAGGTAAGGGAGAAGGTCTCCGGAAATGGTCTGGAGAAGAGAGGAGGGGATAGGGTCAAGCGGGCAGGTTGTTGGGCGGCCGGCCATCACAAGTCGCAAGATTTCATCTGGAGAGAGGGGGGAGAAAGAAGTCAAACCATAGGGTAGGGCAGTGTGAGCAGGACCAGCGGTGGCATTTGACTTTATAAATGAGGATCGGATGTCGTCAACCTTCTTTTCAAAATGGTTGACGAAGTCATCCACAGAGAGGCAGGAGGATTCAGCAGGGAGGAGAAGGTGGCAAAGAGCTTCCTAGGGTTAGAGGCAGAGGCTTGAAATTTAGAGTGGTAGAAAGTGGCTTTAGCAGCGGAAACAGAGGAAGAGAATGTAGAGAGAAGGGAATGAAAAGATGACAGGTCCGCAGGGAGTCTAGTTTTCCTCCATTTCCGCTCGGCTGCCCAGAGCCCTCTTCTGTGAGCTCGCAATGAGTCGTCAAGCCACGGAGCAGGAGGGGAGGACCGAGGTGGCCGGGAGGATAGGGGACATAGTCAAAAGATGCAGAAAGGTAATGTCGACTTGACTAGCTTTTTTACTAACACTTATCCCCCTTTCTCTCCAGTCATGGCAAGTGACTTTGACGGACAGATGGACTACCTGGAGCAGTTTGGGTCCAGCAATGTAAGTTATTATCTTTTATATACAGTACCAGTCAAACATTTTGACACCTACTCATTCAAGGGTTTTTCTTTATTTTCACTATTTTCTACATTGTACAATAATAGTGAAGATATCAAAACGATGAAATAACACATGGAATCATGTAGTAACCAAAAGTGTTAAACAAATCAAAATATATTTTAGATTCTTCAACGTAGCCACCCTTTGCCTTGATGACAGCTTTGCACATCTTGGCATTCTCTCAACCAGCTTCATGAGGAATGCTTTTCCAACAGTCTTGAAGGAGTTCCCACATATGCTGAGCACATGTTGGCTGCTTTTCTTTCACTCTGCGGTCCAACTCATCCCAAACCATCTCAATTGGGTTAAGGTCAGGGGATTGTGGAGGCCAGGTCATCTGATGCAGCACTCATCACACTCCTTCTTGGTCAAATAGCCCTTACACAGCCTGGAGGTGTGTTTTGGGTCATTGTCCTGTTGAAAAACAAATGATAGTCCCACTAAGCGCAAACCAGATGGGATGGCGTATCGCTGCAGAATACTGTGGTAGCCATGCTGGTTAAGTGTGCCTTGAATTCTAAATAAATCACTGACAGTGTCACCAGTAAAGCACCATCACACCACCTAATGAACTTATCCTCTGCGGCAGATGTAACTCTGGGTCTTCCTTTCCTGTGGAGGTCCTCATGAGAGCCAGTTTCATCAAAGCGCTTGATGGTTTTTGTGACTGCACTTGAAGAAACGTTCAAAGTTCTTGAAATGTTCCGTATTGACTGACCTTCATGTCTTAAAGTAATGATGGACTGTCGTTTCTCTTTGCTTATTTGAGCTGTACTTGCCATAATATGGACTTGGTCTTTCACCAAATAGGGCTATCTTCTGTATACCCCCCTACCCTGTCACAACACAACTGATTGGCTCAAACGCATTAAGAAGGAAAGAAATTCCACAAATTAACATTTAACAAGGCACACCTGTTAATTGAAATGCATTCCAGGTGACTACCTCATGAAGCTGGTTGAGAGAATTACAGTTTTGCACATTTGGCATCAAGGCAAAGGGTGGCTATTTGAAGAATCTCAAATATATTGATTTGTTTAACACTTTTTGGGTTACTACATGATTCCATGTGTTATTTCATAGTTTTGATGTCTTCACTATTATTCTACATAGAAAATAGTAAAAATAAAGAGAAACCCTTGAATGAGTAGGTGTCCAAACGTTTGTATGTATAGATACAGTGGGGAGAACAAGTATTTGATACTGCCGATTTTGCAGGTTTTCCTACTTACAAAGCATGTAGAGGTCTGTAATTTTTATCATAGGTACACTTCAACTGTGAAAGACGGAATCTAAAACAAAAATCCAGAAAATCACATTGTATGATTTTTAAGTAATGAATTTGCATTTTATTGCATGACATAAGTATTTGATCACCTACCAACCAGTAAGAATTCCGGCTCTCACAGACCTGTTCGTTTTTCTTTAAGAAGCCCTCCTGTTCTCCACTCATTACCTGTATTAACTGCACCTGTTTGAACTGGTTACCTGTATAAAAGACACCTGTCCACACACTCAATCAAACAGACTCCAACCTCTCCACAATGGCCAAGACCAGAGAGCTGTGTAAGGACATCTGGGATAAAATTGTAGATCTGCACAAGGCTGGGATGGGCTACAGGACAATAGGCAAGCAGCTTGGTGAGAAGGCAACAACTGTTGGCGCAATTATTAGAAAATGGAAGAAGTTCAAGATGACGGTCAATCACCCTCGGTCTGGGGCTCCATGCAAGATCTCACCTCGTGGGGCATCAATGATCATGAGGAAGGTGAGGGATCAGCCCAGAACTACATGGCAGGACCTGGTCAATGACCTGAAGAGAGCTGGGACCACAGTCTCAAAGAAAACCATTAGTAACACACTACGCCGTCATGGATTAAAATCCTGCAGCGCACGCAAGGTCCCCCTGCTCAAGTCAGCGCATTTCCAGGCCCGTCTGAAGTTTGCCAATGACCATCTGGATGATCCAGAGGAGGAATGGGAGAAGGTCATGTGGTCTGATGAGGCAAAAATAAAGCTTTTTGGTCTAAACTCCACTTGCTGTGTTTGGAGGAAGAAGAAGGATGAGTACAACCCCAAGAACACCATCCCAACCGTGAAGCATGGAGGTGGAAACATCATTCTTTGGGGATGCTTTTCTGCAAAGGGGACAGGACGACTGCACCGTATTGAGGGGAGGATGGATGGGGCCATGTATTACGAGATCTTGGCCAACAACCTCCTTCCCTCAGTAAGAGCATTGAAGATGAGTCGTGGCTGGGTCTTCCAGCATGACAACGACCCGAAACACACAGCCAGGGCAACTAAGGAGTGGCTCTGTAAGAAGCATCTCAAGGTCCTGGAGTGGCCTAGTCAGTCTCCAGACCTGAACCCAATAGAAAATCTTTGGAGGGAGCTGAAAGTCCGTATTGCCCAGCAACAGCCCCGAAACCTGAAGGATCTGGAGAAGGTCTGTATGGAGGAGTGGGCCAAAATCCCTGCTGCAGTGTGTGCAAACCTGGTCAAGACCTACAGGAAACGTATGATCTCTGTAATTGCAAACAAAGGTTTCTGTACCAAATATTAAGTTCTGCTTTTCTGATGTATCAAATACTTATGTCATGCAATAAAATGCAAATTAATTACTTAAAAATCATACAATGTGATTTTCTGGATGTTTGTTTTAGATTCTGTCTCTCACAGTTGAAGTGTACCTATGATAAAAATTACAGACCTCTACATGCTTTGTAAGTAGGAAAACCTGCAAAATTGGCAGTGTATCAAATACTTGTTCTCCCCACTGTATATCTCTTTCATTCCTGTTTGTTTACATTTTGGGCTTCCTCTAATTATTTATCCTTTATATTCAGTTCAAGGAGTCAGCACTGAGGAAACAATCTCTGTACCTCAAATTTGACCCCCTCATGAGAGAGAGCCCCAAGAAGTCTGGCGGCCCAACAGCACTCAACAACCTCCCTCAACCTGCTCCCTTTGCTTCACGGTACTTTACTCTTTTGGTCATAATCACATGGTTTTGTTTTACCCATCTAACTGGGGGGGGGGGACAAATGCCTTGTGCGTTCATCTTTAAAATGTTATAGTTGCAAATAAGATTTTAATTTGCCTAGAATTGAGAGGATACTTGATCTCTAGTTTGTGTATCTTAAATGAGTTTGCAATTCAAAGGTGAATATCAAGGTGTTTGCGCCAAGTCTGAGGGAGGTTTCTGTCAATGTGGTTTTAGTGTGGATACCCAGAAGACTGGAGCCAAGGAGGAGGTGAATGGACTGAAATCTGTCGATCCCAAACTTCTTGATGTCCCACCACCTGTAAGTTACCGCAGTACTCCTCAAAGATCCTACTATAATATAGTAAAGCTAAGTAATGTGGGAAAACTGTTAAATGGATGTCTTCTCTCTTTTAGGTTCAGGTTGTTGGTCCTCGGACTCGCGTGCAAAATTCCCCTATGAATCTGGCCTCAACTTTCCCCCAACCAGCCAACACTGAGGATAACATCATAGAGGTGCTTAAATACAGTCAGCAAGACATGGAAGCTGCCGTTGCCAAGATCCAGAAAGAAGTAGGTGTTTGTTTTCCTCATCCCCTTCAATCCAGTCATGATCCTTTTCATTTATAATGGTTTCTTTTTATAGGCAAAGGAACAGGAAGATGAATGGAAGGCAAAGCATGACAAGCTATCTTGGGATAATCATGAAATGGGGTAAGCAATAAGCATTGAAGCTAGTCTTTGGTCACTGATTCTCATTTCAGACCTCTTAACAAGTTTAACTGTTGGTTTCTCTGCTTTTTGTTATTGCAGGAAAATCATGTCTGAATTTGAAGCCACAATTGCTCAGATATTGGGTAGGTTGTAGTAAAGGAAATTGTCCAATGTTCAAGATGAAAATGAAGGGTATTCAAAAATGTTTAATGTAAAATGTACAACTTGTCATGGTTTCCTGCAGCTGATAAACAAAAGGAGAAGGAGATGGCCCAGGCTGAGATCACTAAAGTCTTGCAGGAGAAGGAGCAGGTATCACAGGACCTGAACACCATGGAGAGGTCCTTCTCTGATCTCTTCAAGAGACTGGACAAGTACAAAGAGGCCATCGAGGGTTACAAAAAGGTTGGAATTAAAAAGGATGTCATGACCTATGCATAGGGCCCTGTGTTTTGTGCAACCATGTGGCATGCCTAAATCTGAACCATTTATATGAAAGGTTTTTCACAGACCTGTCCCCTTTTTATGGTCCAGCACCATCCTCAGACAATTGCGTTCATTTTTGGTGTAATTATCATTTCTGGAGGAGGCTTAAAATACAGGATAAAATCTTGCTATGACACATGATTGCGCAAAACACTTTGGTGCAGGAAAGTAACATTGTTGTGAAGGATGATGCTGAATTGATGTAGGTCTATGACTTTGCTTTGCCAACCTCATGACTTTTGGTTTTAAATGTGTGTGCCACTAAGAATGAAGAGATGCTGAAGAAATGTGCTGAAGATTACCTGGCTAGGATCAAGAAGGAGGAGCAGCGCTACCAGACCCTGAAAGCCCATGCAGAGCAGAAAATTGGCCTGTAAGACTCAAACTATACTTTTTTGTGCAAAGTACAGCCGGTTACAGAATTGTGTATTGTTGCTGGCCTTTGTGTAGTCTCACTTGGCTGAATATTACATATATATATTTTTTTTTCAGGGCGAATGGAGAAATTGCAGAGGTTCGCTCCAAACTAAAGTCGGAGGTCTCTGCACTTCAGGCCCAGCTGCGCAGGGAGCAGCTAAAGGCCCAGTCACTGGAGAACAGCCTTGACCAGAAAGTAAGTCCACCTCAGTCTGAAGTCCATGAGGCTGCCTCTATCAGGGTTTTTTGGCATAATTTGTTCAGGAAGGTTTTGCTCTTATCAGATTTTCCCTTCTTGCTTTTTTCCTGTCCCCTCAGGTAAAAGAGACGGAAGAACTCACCAATCTTTGTGATGAGCTAATCGCGAAAGTCCAGAAGGGCTGAGTTGAACTGCATGTCTGTCCTTGTCTTTATTGCTGTACTGTAGTTTAGATTTTTAAACAACAAATCTAAACGTGCTCTTCCTGATGAATATCGCTTTGTAAATGTTTTGCTGCTCTTGATTGGAGATCGAGCAATGGCTCATCTACTGATTCATATTTTGTTTTATCAATGTCGGTCTTGTCCATGTCTGTGTATTACTGTAATAATAAAACCATTTCACAAATCAAGATCTGTTGTAGCTCCTTGCAAGTTTATTTGAAGTTAATTGTAGCCCTCAAACTCCTTTTTGAGCCACAAGGAGACGCTGTTTACCAAAATATTAATATTTTGTAGTGCAATCTTAGCAAAGGTAATTTTAGTTTTTGGTTTCATGCATTCATTTCATGTTCTGATTTGAGCATAGTGAAATTTGTACAAGTTTTCAGAACAGTAGCTACTTCATAAATGTTTCTAGGGGTGTGCTATGTTCTGTTAATTAAAACATTTCAATAGCTCCTTTCGGTCTCTAGAGCCAAACGCTCATCCCGTTCTAGAATGCCTACAACATAACAGAGCTACCCTGATACAATGCTCCCCTTCTTCCCCGAGCAATCACAGGGTCCTGTCACATCACTCCCGGAGCAGGACAATGCACTTCCTAAATGGTGAAAGGAAATCCTACCTAGATTGGAGTTGAATGAGGTGGTAGTGTGGGGCAGAGGGGAGGAGAAGGGCTAGATTCACTCTTAAATGGGAGCGATGCTAGTCAGTTGGTGTAGTCTTGCAGGGGCCATCACTCTCCTGTGAGAGCACTTTCTATCTCTGCCTGTATCTATTGTCATTTATTCCTGCACCACTGGCCCTTTGCTGGCTGCCCTCTGAATCACCCTGTGTAGACGACTAGGCTCTTCTAGCCATGTCAGGGGAGGAAAGCTGACCTGCCTTTTGTAGGGGGCTCCTGGTGGTCCTTATCTAGCAGGGCAGGTAACTGTCACTGAACTCAATCCCTCATTCCCAGTGGCAGCCGGTGGGCTGACCGCAGGCTTTTACAAACATCCTCAATATTCTAATTTTCAGACTTGAATCTCAATCAAGCCTTAATTGTTTTCGGACAAGTTCCTGTAAAGAATTGAGGCCATGAACCAAAGTGTACATTTGCTTGTCCTTTAATCAAACCGTTGCCAAATCAATCTTGAAATTACCTTTCTCACTTTTAATGGGGTACATCATAGAAGATTGTCAAACAACCAATTGTGTATAAGTACTTGCATAAACAAAATATGATTATCCTGGTTGGCAATGTCCTTCATATATGATACATTACATTGCAACTACAGAAAACCTTATTGAACTTACATAATTTTAATCAAAATACATGTAAAATGCCTGACTTTGAAAAATAAACATTTCCTTAAAATAAATTAAACACGTCTCCTTTCAAATGTATATAAAATGACTACATCTATATAAATTGTGGTTGGATTAGACTGCAGTGTAAGTAAGTACTCATTATGGTCTATGTATTCACTGCAACACTGGATATTTGCAAGGATTCTATAAAACACACACATGAAAGGCTAGTGGTGGTAACCTAAGTAACATTTGGATTCTGGCAATATGTAGCGAGTCCAGCTATAGTCAACATTGGAACAATATTCTATTCTTTGCCGTCTTCGATATGGACATGAAAAATGCTACCAATGTATTTTCATAAGGCCTTTGTGGATGAATTTATGATTGAAAAGAAACAGGATTATTGATGGACACATCGATAGTGGTCAGGGTTAAATGGATGTGCATTTGAACAATAATGAAACATTTACAAAAATCAAAGGGGCTACCTGAGTATGAGCGTAATACCAGCCCTTTTGTATTGTATTCCATTCCGCCTTCAACATCACCTAGCAGAGCTTAAGTACTGTATCTTGTACCCTACAACATGATTAGAGGTAAAGGTCAAAACTGACCCTAATCCCTGTTGGTTAGTTGATATGGGTTAACAGCACAAGTTAATGATGGATTATTTATTTATTTACTGATGGATATGCACTCTTAGTAAGTCTGAATAGCTGCCTTTAACACATTGCAGAATCTCTTGGCGATTGAAGTAAGTGCACATCAGGGTTCGGTGGTTTTTAGTGGTGTTGATATGAAAAGTAGCACCAAGGACCAGGCAGGTTTGCAGGTACTGTAAAAACCATACATATTTTCATTGGAAGATGTGGTTATTTTAGTTGAGAAATCACTAGGGCAGCCATTTATGCACAAATCTCTAAAACTGCTCATTCACGATCACCTTCATTTCAATGTTGTACAGTACTGAATGATCATTATAAAGCCCCAGTATTGTCCAGTTAGATCAAGATCCAGCACAGGCAAGGTGACAGTTAAAAGAGCAGCCCCAGATGTGTGTAACCAGAGAGCTGTTCTCTGAGGTTCAGTCCACAGCTCAACCCTTGCTGTACGATGCAATCCTTCAGAGGTGAAAGAGGGGGACATATCTAACACTGAAAGTGAATGTGCTGGTGCACCTTCCCGTCCACGTGGGTGTGTGTGTGGATGTCAGTGTAGATTTTTGGGGGGAGGGCAGAGCCCCCTTGAGTGAGGAGAAGCTGCTGCTGAGCCAGATACTCCTCATAGTTTATGGAGCCCAGGCAGTCCTTCTCTGAGGTGGAGGGGGCCACACAGCTCCTGTCCCTCTCCCGGTAGGGCAGTCGGTGGGAGGCCTGCAGGACCTGGGCAGCCGCAGTGCTGGTAGGGGAACAGTGCTTCTTACTCTGGCAGAACCACAGCAGCACTGTACCGAAGATGAACACCATGCCAGCAGGGATGCCGATGATGACTGGCCAGGGGAGGGTGCTGGAGGCTGGGGTGAACATTGGGGTGATGGGTGGCTTGGTGTCTGCAGGAGGAGAGGGTCCGAAAAAAAGAAGTATCAGTCAACATGGAGTCAATCATTCTAAACAATAAAATTTAACAAAGAAGTAGCTACACATGCTGAGAGAGTCTTGGTTGAGAAATTAATAGTGCTGAGTGATTAACCAATATATATACAGTGGGATAAAAAAGTATTTAGTCAGCCACCAATTGTGCAAGTTCTCCCACTTAAAAAGATGAGAGAGGCCTGTAATTTTCATCATAGGTACACGTCAACTATGACAGACAAATTGAGAGAAAAAAATTCCAGAAAATCACATTGTAGGATTTTTATTGAATTTATTTGCTAATTATGGTGGAAAATAAGTATTTGGTCACCTACAAACAAGCAAGATTTCTGGCTCTCACAGACCTGTAACTTCTTCTTTAAGAGGCTCCTCTGTCCTCCACTTGTTATCAGTATAAAAGACACCTGTCCACAACCTCAAACAGTCACACTCCAAACTCCACTATGGCCAAGACCAAAGAGCTGTCAAAGGACACCAGAAACAAAATTGTAGACCTGCACCAGGCTGGGAAGACTGAATCTGCAATAGGTAAGCAGCTTGGTTTGAAAAAATCAACTGTGGGAGCAATTATTAGGAAATGGAAGACATACAAGACCACTGATAATTTCCCTCGATCTGGCGCTCCACGCAAGATCTCACCCTGTGGGGTCAAAATTATCACAAGAACGGTGAGCAAAAATCCCAGAACCACACGGGGGGACCTAGTGAATGACTTGCAGAGAGCTGGGACCAAAGTAACAAAGCCTACCACCAGTAACACACTACGCCGCCAGGGACTCAAATCCTGCAGTGCAAGACGTGTCCCCCTGCTTAAGCCAGTACATGTCCAGGCCAGTCTGAAGTTTGCTAGAGTGCATTTGGATGATCCAGAAGAGGATTGGGAGAATGTCATATGGTCAGATGAAACCAAAATATAAATTTTTGGTAAAAACTCAACTCATCGTGTTTGGAGGACAAAGAATGCTGAGTTGCATCCAAAGAACACCATACCTACTGTGAAGCATGGGGGTGGAAACATCATGCTTTGGGGCTGTTTTTCTGCAAAGGGACCAGGACGACTGATCCGTGTAAAGGAAAGAATGAATGGGGCCATGTATCGTGAGATTTTGAGTGAAAACCTCCTTCCATCAGCAAGGGCATTGAAGATGAAACGTGGCTGGGTCTTTCAGCATGGCAACGAAGGAGTGGCTTCGTAAGAAGCATTTCAAGGTCCTGGAGTGGCCTTGCCAGTCTCCAGATCTCAACCTCATAGAAAATCTTTGGAGGGAGTTGAAAGTCTGTGTTGCCCAGCGACAGCCCCAAAACATCACTGCTCTAGAGGAGATCTGCATGGAGGAATGGGCCAAAATACCAGCAACAGTGTGTGAAAACCTTGTGAAGACTTACAGAAAACGTTTGACCTGTGTCATTGCCAACAAAGGGTATATAACAAAGTATTGAGAAACTTTTGTTATTGACCAAATACTTATTTTCCACCATAATTTGCAAATAAATTCATTAAAAATCCTACAATGTGATTTTCTGGATATTTTTTTCTCATTTTGTCTGTCATAATTGACGTGTACCTATGATGAAAATTACAGGCCTCTCTCATCTTTTTAAGTGGGAAAACTTGCACAATTGGTGGCTGACTAAATAATTTTTTCCCCCACTGTATATATTTTGGGTTTCTAAACAACTCATTGACCCATGTCGGTTCAATTATTTGAATTCCATTTCGTTGTTTTTTTCTGTGAGCTCAATGCTCAGTTTCTGTAGAGATAAATCAGATAAGTAATGGGCAGTTACTACCATCATGAGACTTTTATTAATTGTTTTATTCTGTGTTGTTACAGCATTCAACCCACATAATGCATTGTGCAATGAATGTACAAAAAAACAAGCGAAACTGAAGTCAAAAAACGAGATTAGCTTTTTAATAATCGAACCGAAACTGAACAGACCTCAAAAAGCACTTTTCACTGCAGTGGGTCAATACTACATTGTTCACCAATACAAAGCTCACAATAACCAGCGTAAGAAGAAAACTGGAAACAGAGGAGTTTTGTGTGTACATGATGGGGAAGATTTTGAAAGTTGGATTTTTGGGAGGCCAGGTAATCCATCATTAACTTTAGGGCTGAACGATTAATTGCATTCGCGATAATATCGCGATTTGACTGAACGCGATTTTCTAATCGCAACGTGCGCGATTTGAGGTGGTCACGTGACGCGACTTTTCATGCTGTCCAGCGCAATGGCCTCTTGCTCGACGGAACAGTCAGAAACTGACACAGCTGATACTTTAATATCGAAGAGGAACAGCACGTCGGTGGTGTGGAACTATTTTGGTTTAAAAAAAGAAGATGCTGAGCAGCGTCAGGTGTTGTGCAGAGCATGCCGTGCTCCGATTGCTACTTCACGGGGTAACACTACAAACCTGTTTCAGCACTTAAAAAAATACCACAAATCAATGCATGACAGTTGTATGACCAAAATGCCGAGCATCAGTGCGCGAGACAAGCCAAATACCTCAAGACAGGGATCACTGACAGAAATGTTCGAAAGTGTCACTCCGTATGAACGTAATTCAAAACGGCACGGAGAAATCACTCGGACAATAACCGAGTTCATAGCCAAAGATATGATGCCTCTCAGCACGGTGACCAAGCCTGGGTTCATGGCATTAATACATACGCTTGATAAACGTTACAGTATACCCTCCCGCACATACTTCAGTCAGACTGCCATACCGGAGCTGTACAAAAAGTGCAAAGAGAAAGTCGCCGCGGAACTTAAAACGGTGGAGTTTTTTGCTAGCACTACTGATATGTGGTCAAGCCGCACAGCTGAGCCGTACCAGAGTCTTACAGTCCATTTTATTGATGAAGATTTCAACCTCCGAGCTCGCTGCCTACAAACTACCTACTTCCCAGACGATCACACAGGGGAAAATATTGCAGCCGGCCTGAGAGAAGGGCTTGTCAGCTGGGATCTCCACGAGGAGAATCACGTCTGCATCACGACGGACAACGCGTCGAATATGGTGCTTGCTGCGCGGCTTAATGAATGGACGAGGCTCCAATGTTTTGGCCACAGATTACATCTTGCCATTGGTAAGTTATCGTGAGTGTGTGTGTGTGTGTGTGTGTGTGTGTGTGTGTGTGTGTGTGTGTGTGTGTGTGTGTGTGTGTGTGTGTGTGTGTGTGCGCGAGTGCGAGAGAGAGAGATGCGTCGATTAGTAAAGCTGAATATACAAATATATATAAATGATATTATATAAATCGGATGGGATTAAATAAATTCATACTTCCACTCCTTTTCTAATATGTAAATTCATTTTACTTGCTTATATCATATGTCTGTCTGTGGTGGAATGCCCACCTGCATTTTTTTTCTTTTCTTGTTTTTGTTTTTTACATGTTTTTTTAGTGTTTATGAGAGAGAGAGAGAGAGAAAGAGAGAGAGAATTGACATGCAAATAAAGACCCTTTGAATTGAGAGAGAGAGAGAGGATGTGTTGTGGATGTGTGTATTTCAGAATTACAGCTAATTTGAGTGTGTAATAGTGAGAGCCTTGTATCAAAACTCAAATTGTGTGTAATACACTACTTTTTATTTCTTTTAGAAAATGCACTCAAAGATGACAGAGTGTCAAGGGCAACAGCACTGTGCAGGAAGCTGGTGGGGCACTTTTCCCACAGTTGGAAGAAGAAAGCAGCCCTGACGGAGGCACAGAGAGAGCTCAAACTCCCTGAGCACAACCTCATAACGGAGTGCCCAACAAGATGGGGTTCTAAAGAAATGATGATTGCCAGAGTGCTTGAACAGGCCAAAGCCATTTCTCAGGTATTGTCTGGAGATCGATATGCACGCTCCCTTATCCCAACCTGGCAGGATATTGACGTGTTGGAGTCGATTCACAAGGCACTGCATCCTCTACTGGAGTTTACTGATGCTCTTTCTGGAGAGGAGTATGTAAGCATCTCCTACCTCAAGCCAGTTCTCCACCTTTTTGCCACATCAGTCCTGGCTGAAGATGCTGAGGACACTGACCTGACTAAATCAATAAAAACCAAAGTCCTAGCATACCTCAATAACAAATATGGAGACCCAAACATCCAGGAGCTTTTGGATGTTGCCTGTTTCCTGGACCCTAGGTTCAAAATACAGTACATCAGTACAGACAACATCCCTGCTATCAAGACTCGTCTGAAGACAGAGATAGTAGACTTGGCACAACGTACATATCATTGGGTAAATAATTATGTATTTCACAAAAACAAAAATTTTCTGTAAAATCTAACTGGAAAACTAATGGCTGTTGTTTTCATCTAATAGGAGAAGAGGTCTCGTACTGAAACTGTTCAGATGCCTCAAAGTGCACAGTCCTTGGGGGAAAAGACGAAGAGGTCTCTTGGCAGTTTTTTCAAGACCAGTTCAGCCTCTCCTTCTTTGCCTGTAAATCTTGAAGATGTCGCAGAGGCAGAGATAAACAATTACCTGATGACTCCTACCATTGATGGAGAAGATGATCCATTGGCTTGGTGGAGGGTGCACAAGATCAGCTACCCACAGTTGTGCACCATGGCACGCAAGTATCTTTGTGTACCTGCTACAAGCGCTCCCTCAGAGCGTCTTTTTAGCACAGGAGGGAATATTGTGACTTGCACTCGCTCAGCCTTGAAGCCAGAAAAAGTCAATATTCTGGTTTTCTTAGCAAAAAACCTGTGAGCCACTGAGAACAGAACTGTTGGATAAGTATGGCTGGCAGTGCCATACTCGTAGTGAACTTTAGTCTGTGTGGTGTGTTATTGTTGTGTACTTGAGATAAGTGAGGCTCATCTATTTTATATTATAATATTCAAATCGTTTATAAAAAATAGTTTGTCTAAATTAAAAGTGCATTTCTCATTTTTTATTTATAACTTTATTTACTTTGATTTTACAAAATATTTTCAAAGCAAATTCCTTGTTTCAGTTGTGTGAAATGTTACTGACTTGGGAGCAGTAAGATACATACAATTTAAAATTATTTTTTTCTTAAGACTGTACCTTTTGCACACAGTGTTTACAAAGTTCATGCCTTTGTTTAAATTATTTAAATGCACAGTGGCAAAGCCACAGATGTTTCTGTAATGAGCAGTTCAATAAAAATGTCATTTATTTCAAGTCATACATGTTTGAATTTAATTCTAACAAATAGACCCAGCCTATGGGAAAGAACATTTCACACTAAATGTATATACTATTGTGTTGGTCATATTTAAATCATTCATTATGTTTTGTAGGGGAAAAAGGATAAATAAATTAAATCGCATATTAAATCGCAATCGCAATATTGGGGGCAAAAAATCGCAATTAGATTATTTTCCAAAATCGTTCAGCCTTAATTAACTTGTGCTGGTATGATGTACTACATTATTTTATTTTTTTGTCATTTAGCAGACGCTCTTATCCAGAGCGACTTACAGTTAGTGAGTGCATACATTTTCATACTGGCCCCCCGTGGGAAACGAACCCACAACCCTGGCGTTGCAAGCACCATGCTCTACCAACTGAGCTACACGGGGCCTAGAGGGCAGGCAGCCTGCCACTGGTATTACCTGGCAGCACGGTGAGGAAGGCACTGCGGAAGCTGTAGCCCATGGTGTTGGCGCCCAGACAGATGTACATGCCAGCGTCCTCCTCCTTGGCGCGGGTGATGAGCAGCTTGTTGAGGTAGGAGCCATCAGGGCGTGACCACACCTCTCCCGTGGGCAGCACCACAAAGTGATGGTCGCCCACCTCAATGGTGGAGTTGTACCGACTCTCCTCGTTGGACTCGACACGCTTGAGCCACTGGATGACGGGTTTGACATCGCTCCTCACTTTGCACTGGAATGAGGTAGTCCCACCGTAGTCCACTGTGGTGTTGACCGGGTGAGTGCCTGTCAGGATGGGCTTGGAGTTGGTCCGCTCTGCAGAGAAACATAATCGACAAACTGTCACAACCATCCCACATTTCAACATGGCTGACTCTTTGCATGAACCAGCGTAGATGTCCATACAATTATTAGCCTCAGGCGTAGAAAGAGAGGGAGAGAGAGAAATACCACATGTAACACAAGATGTATGTGTGATTAGTTTCCTCTCTCTCTGCTCCTGGTTGTACAACACACACACATCTGGGAGGAGGGGGGGGGGGGCAGACAGCTGGACCCTAATCAACTCCAGATTGGAGGGGCTTGGGGTTTAGCAGCCACCTCCTCCTCGCCCCACACTCCAGAACAGAACCCTCGTTCTCAGATCTACCTTCTCAATATGCTTCTCATTTACATGATTATACGAGCACATTCATCCATGGAGCAGGGATACGAGTAACATTCATCCATGGAGCAGGGATGTGAGTTAAGACTTACTGATCAAACGCAGCAGTCTGACGAAGTTAGATCAGAGAGTAAGGATCTCCAAAAGGTTGTGGTTCCACCTCAAATCCAGACCCAACGTTACTACGATTACGTGGCAATTATATCAATGTTGACCAGATTGATTTCCATCCCTGATAGCCAAAAATGATCAATATCACAACATCCATAGAACTCAGTCTGCAGGACTGTGATATATACTACAGTATTATCTGGTTCCTTCCCCTGAGGAGTCCACCACATACATTAGTTATGAGATCTTTCCAGGTGGACTGGCTCGTTAAGTGAATTTATGACTCTGACCTTCGTGACTGTATGATACTTACGTATGACCTCCACTTTGTAGGTGGCGTTGATCTCTCCGGCTCGGTTGGAGACCCTGCAGGTGTACCTGCCGCTGTTCTCCGGGGTCAGATTCCTCAGACTCAGGGTCCACTTCTTCTGGCGCCCCTCGCCCACCTCACGCTCTGTCAGTGGCCTGTCGTCCTTCAGCCACACGATGTCCGGCCGAGGGTTACCGCTGGCCATACACTTCAGCTGCACAGAACTCCCGACGGGCCGGGCGATCACCCGCTTCCTCATTTTAGCAGGCTGGGTGAAACGGGGACGAACTTTGGGAAAAGGAGGGAGGAGAGTTTTGGGTTTACTACCTTGCAGAGATGGATACGAAAATCATGAAATAAGACTCAATCTAATGCTATTACAGTTGAAGTTGGAAGTTTACATACACTTAGATTGGAGTCATTAAAACTTGTTTTTCAACCACTCAACAAATGTCTTGTTAACAAACTATAGTTTTGGCAAGTCGGTTAGGACATCTACTTTGTGCATGACACAAGTCATTTTTCCAATAATTGTTTACAGACAGATTATTTCACTTATAATTCACTGTATCACAATTCCAGTGGGTCAGAAGTTTACATACACTAAGTTGACTGTGCCTTTAAACAGCTTGGAAAATTCCAGAAAATGATGTCATGGCTTTAGAAGCTTCTGATAGGCTAATTGACATAATTTGAGTCAATTGGAGGTGTACCTGTGGATGTATTTCAAGGCCTACCTTCAAACTCAGTGCCTCTTTGCTTGACATCATGGGAAAATCTAAAGAAATCAGCCAAGACCTCAGAAAAAAAATTGTAGACCTCCACAAGTCTGGTTCATCCTTGGGAGCAATTTCCAAACGCCTGAAGGTACCACGTTCATCTGTACAAACAATAGTGCGCAAGTATAAACACCATGGGACCACGTAGCCGTCATACCGCTCAGGAAGGAGATGAAGGTACTTTGGTGCGAAAAGTGCAAATCAATCCCAGAACAACAGCAAAGGACCTTGTGAAGATGCTGGAGGAAACAGGTTCAAAAGTATCTATATCCACAGTAAAACGAGTCCTATATCAACATAACCTGAAAGGCCGCTCAGCAAGGAAGAAGCCACTGCTCCAAAACCGCCATAAAAAAGCCAGACTACGGTTTGCAACTGCACATGGGGACAAAGATCGTAATTTTTGGAGAAATGTCCTCTGGTCTGATGAAACAAAAAAAGAACTGTTTGGCCATAATGACCATTGTTATGTTTAGAGGAAAAAGGGGGTCTTGCAAGCCGAAGAACACCAACGGGGGTGGCAGCATCATGCTGTGGGGGTGCTTTGCTGCAGGAGGGACTGGTGCACTTCACAAAATAGATGGCATCATGAGGAAGGAAAATGATGTGGATATATTGAAGCAACATCTCAAGACATCAGTCAGGAAGTTAAAGCTTGGTCGCAAATGGGTCTTCCAAATGGACAATGACCCCAAGCATACTTCCAAAGTTGTGGCAAAATGGCTTAAGGACAACAAAGTCAAGATATTGGAGTGGCCATCACAAAGCCCTGACCTCAATCCTATAGAAAATGTGTGGGCAGAACTGAAAAAGCGTGTGCGAGCAAGGAGGCCTACAAACCTGAATCAGTTACACCAGCTCTGTCAGGAGGAATGGGCCAAAATTCACCCAAATTATTGTGGGAAGCTTGTGGAAGGCTACCCGAAACGTTTGACCCAAGTTAAACCATTGAAAGGCAATGCTACCAAATACTAATTGAGTGTATGTAAACTTCTGACCCACTGGGAATGTGATGAAAGAAATAAAAACTGAAATAAATCATTCTCTCTACTATTATTCTGACTTTTCACATTCTTAAAATAAAGTGGTGATCCTAACTGACCTAAGACAGGGAATTTTTACTAGGATTAAATGTCAGGAATTGTGAAAAACTGAGTTTAAATGTAATAATATAATAATAATAATAATAATAATATGCCATTTAGCAGACGCTTTTATCCAAAGCGACTTACAGTCATGTGTGCATACATTTTTACGTATGGGTGGTCCCGTATGGGTGGTCCCGGGGACTAAGGTGTATGTAAACTTCTTGACTTCAACTGTAACTGTAGTAATGTTACTTTCTTTTAATGATCCTACCGAGGTTTCCTGATAGGCCGTCAGGGCCATACTCTGAGTCCACCCCACCAGGGACCCCTGGCCCAGTCTTATCAGCGCCAGAGTAATCTGTAAGGGAAAGGGGACAGAACATATCACTGTGAGATAAATTAATGTTTTATGATTGCGGGCAAAAGATGCAGACTTTTCAACATAGAATTTAACATGGTATAAACGTTATGTTCAATAGGCACACAGAAAAGGCCTTAGAGGTATTAACAGAGGGTGATGACAGAGATTATGAGGTAAAGCCTATTAGGGTTCACTAGTGGTAAAGGCTTCTGTGGCCGTTTGGGCTAATTAACTTTCAGTTCTGATCTCAGATGGGTGTTTTTCTTGATTATTTCAAAGCTTGTAAACAGTTTATATAATCGATTCACATTCAAAAACAGCATCTGAACACTATCAATTAAGTTGTTATTATGGAGTAGGCACTGGTTGTTAGTGAGAGTCTCTGTTTTACTGCTCCTCTAACTCAGGATACAAGCATGAGGCAGAGTGTTCAACAAACAGTGAAGAAAAAAAATTATGTTGAATTCAATGCTATTTGTTTCACACTTTTTACAATGTCAGTGACACGGCCCACTTGACAAAGACAAAGCGCCCCCAGCCAAACAGGCACACTAAAACACTCTTGGGTCCATCTGAGTAAATTTAGCATTTATAGATAGCATACACTGAGGGGGTGTATGCTAAGGTCACACGCTGTAACATTTGGGAGTAATATGATCAGTTTTCATAAGCGCAGCTCCGGGAGACAGCTGTTGAGTTGTCGTCATTGACTGACTGACTTCATGTGGTGGAGCTAAGACACGGCTTAGTGAAAGTATAATCAGTGAAACATAATAGATTGTTTGTAATGCATATCTACTTTGTGAGGTAGACATTGATGAATTTATGGAGCATATTAAAGTTCCATGCCAATTACTACCATTTGGAATACCAAACATTATGACCGATTATAGAAGATCAACCAAAGCAGAGCAAGGTGTCGGATAGATTACACATGATACTACTGCACTTCATGGTATTAGTCATTCACATATGTTCAAATCTTTTCAAATATACCAGTGCTGAGTTAATCCGTTTTTTCGTAGCCTACAGTGGGGAAAAAAAGTATTTAGTCAGCCACCAATTGTGCAAGTTCTCCCACTTAAAAAGATGAGAGAGGCCTGTAATTTTCATCATAGGTACACGTCAACTATGACAGACAAAATGAGAAAAAAAATCCAGAAAAATCACATTGTAGGATTTTTAATGAATTTATTTGCAAATTATGGTGGAAAATAAGTATTTGGTCAATAACAAAAGTTTCTCAATACTTTGTTATATACCCTTTGTTGGCAATGACATAGGTCAAACGTTTTCTGTAAGTCTTCACACACTGTTGCTGGTATTTTGGCCCATTCCTCCATGCAGATCTCTTCTAGAGCAGTGATGTTTTGGGGCTGTCGCTGGGCAACACAGACTTTCAACTCCCTCCAAAGATTTTCTATGGGGTTGAGATCTGGAGACTGGCTAGGCCACTCCAGGACCTTGAAATGCTTCTTACGAAGCCACTCCTTCATTGCCCGGGCGGTGTGTTTGGGATCATTGTCATGCTGAAAGACTCAGCCACGTTTCATCTTCAATGCCCTTGCTGATGGAAGGAAGTTTTCACTCAAAATCTCATGATACATATCCCCATTCATTCTTTCCTTTACACGGATCAGTCGTCCTTGTCCCTTTGCAGAAAAACAGCCCCAAAGCATGATGTTTCCACCCCCATGCTTCACAGTAGGTATGGTGTTCTTTGGATGCAACTCAGCATTCTTTGTCCTCCAAACACGACGAGTTGAGTTTTTACCAAAAAGTTCTATTTTGGTTTCATCTGACCATATGACATTCTCCCAATCCTCTTCTGGATCATCCAAATGCACTCTAGCAAACTTCAGACGGGCCTGGACATGTACTGGCTTAAGCAGGGGGACACATCTTGCACTGCAGGATTTGAGTCCCTGGCGGCGTAGTGTGTTACTGATGGTAGGCTTTGTTACTTTGGTCCCAGCTCTCTGCAGGTCATTCACTAGGTCCCCCTGTGTGGTTCTGGGATTTTTGCTCACTATTCTTGTGATCATTTTGATCCCACAGGGAGAGATCTTGCGTGGAGCCCCAGATCGAGGGAGATTATCAGTGGTCTTGTATGTCTTCCATTTCCTAATAATTGCTCCCACAGTTGATTTCTTCAAACCAAGCTGCTTACCTATTGCAGATTCAGTCTTCCCAGCCTGGTGCAGGTCTACAATTTTGTTTCTGGTGTCCTTTGACAGCTCTTTGGTCTTGGCCATAGTGGAGTTTGGAGTGTGACTGTTTGAGGTTGTGGACAGGTGTCTTTTATACTGATAACAAGTTCAAACAGGTGCCATTAATACAGGTAACGAGTGGAGGACAGAGGAGCCTCTTAAAGAAGAAGTTACAGGTCTGTGAGAGCCAGAAATCTTGCTTGTTTGTAGGTGACCAAATACTTATTTTCCACTATAATTTGCAAATAAATTCATAAAAAATCCTACAATGTGATTTTCAGGATTTTCTTTTCTCAATTTGTCTGTCATAGTTGACGTGTACCTATGATGAAAATTACAGGCCTCTCTCATCTTTATAAGTGGGAGAACTTGCACAATTGGTGGCTGACTAAATACTTTTTTTCCCCACTGTACTTTCTGAGGCTTCAGACTCTAATGTTTCCGCTATACAATTCTAATACTGACGTCAAAACACATTTCATATGTATAGTGAATGCGTTATATAGTACTTAGAAAATATGTTTCATATGGCACATTTCATACATATGAAGGTGCACAGTACATATATGAGCAAAGCCATACACCTTGTACCAAACTTGAGCCCAGTGTAGCCGCCAGTAGAATTTCTCCAAATGCAGTTTGGAACACTTCATTCCCACTCCGCGTTTGAATAGGGCAGGTAGAAAGACCAGATGTGGCTTCTAACCCCCCCACTCCAGCCTCCCTCCGACACTCCCCAAACCTCTGTAGAGTTCTTTGGGCACAAACCCTCCATTGTCTCTCCCCTCCAGCACCAGCCCTAGCCATAGCCATGATGTCATGGCTATTTGAAGGGCTTTAACTGGCCAACCAACTATAATAACCCATTCCTTTTTTTAAAAACAGCCTCCATTGGAAGAAATATTTCTCTGTTGCTCACTTGGGCTCTCCACATTCCTCCCGGTTCCTGAACATCCAAATCCACACAGAACACAGCTCCACTCTGCCGGATTTTCTTTTCACATTTTCTTTGTTCCTGAATCTACTTCCTCTCTATTTTTTGGAGGTCCTTAGAAACAATGGCACCCTTTATTAGTCTGGGCCTATACTACTATCCCAGGCTGCTATTGTCTTTACACAATGTTGGCTCAGACTGGGGGGAGGCAGGATATCTCAGTGCTACCACATAATTGTTATTGTTGGAATACTGAAAAATACAATTATCAGTAAAAGGAGAGGACTTGAAAGCCTCCCTGTCAGTCCTTTTTGTGTCCCCTCTCCCTTCTTGAGAGGGGCCTCATCCTCCCTTATCAAAGAGCAACTAAGAGCAGCAATCCACTCAGCTTTTGCAGGGCACAACATTTAAGGGATAAAACATTTGTATTCCAATTATATCCTCAGAATGGAAAATAAATTCTAAATAAACACAGTACAATTGTACATTTAGAGATGGGAGGGAAAGGCAAATACCCACGCACCCAGACACATTCAGTTACAGAGATACTGTTGGGAAGGCAGGCAAAGTAAACGGCTAACAACAACCGAAGTGAATTGAATCCATTCAAACTGTCTCTGTAGTCTACTGTATCACTGAATCTGGTGCCCTCCCCTTTTTGTCTCCTCTTCATTCACAAATCCAGCCACAGGAAATAGATCACTCTCACTCCCCTGGCCTTGAGCTTCAACTGAATCAAAGGAAAAGGCCCCAACATTCTGTGGGCCACAATGAGTTCCAGATGTTGTTGGGAACATTCTCATGTCCAGAAAAAGTCATGAGTAAGTGGCCTTACATCATCACACTCTGGAAACCTCCAAACAACCACCATGTTATCAGCCACACATAATGCAGTGTATCTGAACAGACAACAAGTCTGTACTATCACTACTACTACAGCACTACTACTATCGCTACCACTGTACTACAGAGATTTAAAGTGTCCATGTAAAAATGAAGGCTACCATGATCCCCTCTTTGTTTACATGGTTTGTACAAACACTGTGTTAGAATATAAACTTTACACTATGCAACTTGTAAAAGGTGGATCAGTATAGATGGTGTATCTATCTGGCTGTCTGTCAGTGTGGCAGTCATGTCCAAGTCTAGCAGCAGGAGGGGTGGTGGGGGTGTATGGGAGGGATGAGGGGGGTCAGTTGTCAGGAGACCACCCCAAACAGGGCCCAAACAGCCAGCTGGGGGGATTGAGGAGGCGCCATGTTGCACTGGTTGACCAGATTCTTTGGATACCCAGCTAATAATTATACGGAGAGAGAACATTTTTGTAATGTTAACCTAATGTTCCCTTAATGTTTGAGTGTCCAGTTTTCCGTTAGTTAGGGGAACTTTCTCTCTATTTTAGCAAAAAACTTATTTTAGCAAAAATGAATGTTCTAAATGCGTTTTATGGGACGTTGCAAGAACATTCATATGCCCAGTTCTGAGGATTAGGAGAATATTCCATCAACACTCCGCCAAACATACACAGAACATGTTTGCAATATTCTCAGAATATCGGTGGTGTAAAGTACTTAAATAAAAATACTAGAAAGTACTACTTAAGTAGTTTTTTTGGGTATCTGTAATTTACTTCCTTATTTATATTTTTAGCAACTTTTACTTTACTACATTCTTAAAGAAAATGCTGTACTTTTTACTCCATACATTTTCCCTTGACACCCAAAAGTACTCGTTACATTGGGAACGGTTAACAGGACAGGAAAATTGTCTAATTCACACAATTATCAAGAGAACATCCCTGGTCATCCCTAACTGCCTCTTATCTGGCGGACTCACTAAACACATGCTTTGTTTGTAAATTATGTCTGAGTGCAGGAGCGTGCCCCTGGCTATCTGTAAATTGTAAAAAACAAGAAAATGGTGCCGTCTGGTTTGCTTAATATAAGGAATTTTAAATGATTTATACTTTTACTTTTGATACTTAAGTATATTTTAGCAGTTCCATTTACTTTTGATACTTAAGTATATATATTTTTTTTTAAATACTTTGACTTCTACTCAAGCAGGATTTTACTGGGTGACTTTCACTTTTACTTGAGTCATTTTCTATTAAGGTATCTTTACTTTTACTCAAGTATGACAATTGGGTACTTTTTCCACCACTGCAGAATGTACATTTTGAATGTTCTAGACACGCTTCATGGGACGTTGCAAGAACATTCATGTGTCCAGTTTTCTGAGCATTAGGAGAATATTCCATCAATGTCCCACCAAACATACACAGGACATGGGGTGCCATGTTCTCACAATATTAGATATTAATGTTCTAGACATGTTTCAGGAGAACGTTGCAAGAACATTCCTGTGTCCAGTTCTGAGCGTTAGGAGAATATTCCATCAATGTCCCACATTTACATTACACACATACACAGAACATGGTTGCCATGTTCTCAGAATGTAAGATATTAATGTTGTAGACACGTTTCATGGGAACGTTGTAAACACATTTCTGTGAATCAGTTGTCAGGATGTCGCCTGATTGTCCCAAAGAAACGTTCTCCCCCCAAAACATTTTTTATTACACATCACGCATTGTTACTGTTGCCAAGCCCATCAAGGCCCTGAGTTCACAGCTCTTTTTGTCTGTTGGCAAGGTTAGGAATACTCACACACGCAGTGCTTTTAACATAAGTGTTTTCAACTTACATATTTGACACACATGATTACATTGTGCATGTTCATTTGTACAGTAATTATTCAACATGTCCTCACCTGGGATTTGAACTCACAAACTCTTGGTTCATGGCATTCAGATCTTCCTGCTACGCCACAATGTCTGTTTCAGTTAATTAGACTATTCTCTCATCATTGATATAATTGACTTATTTCAACAGTTAAAGGGCTTTCTGTATAGTTTTCTAATGTTGGTGGGGCATATTAACCTGTTTTAATGATACTCCTGAATCACTATGATCAATACAAGTTTTTCTTGAGTGTACTTTTAACAGAGCTGAAATTTACTTCTAAGTGCATTCACCCTATTGTGTACACCTATCAAGTAGTTTAGGGGGTTTTATGATTTCTTCTGGATAGGGCCTAACTTTACTGTCCCAGGACAGTGGTTAGGGTGTTCGTCATTGGTTCTGTTGGCCTGGGTTCGAGACCCGCTAGGTAAGTAACCCTACGCTCACATTCTTAGCAATATACAGTGTGTTAATGTCATTATTTGGAAACAGTTACAACACACCTATCTGATCTAATTAAAATGTGTTTCTCATTGAAAGATGGGAATCGGTAGAATTCTAGATAGCTGAGCATCTCAAAGCGAACTCTCATCTTTTTGTTCTATTTCGCTTGAGGGACTATGCTAGTCACTCCATTGGATATCCTTCCGCCTGGCTGCAGGATTAGTTGAGATATTAATATCAGAGTAATTCCGTGCCACGGGTGTGATGCACGTAGCATCACTTCCTCGGTTACGCAGGTGAGCGAAAAGTCGATGTTGAAGGCTCCGTATGTCCGTTTTTCGTTGAGTATGTAGAATATATTCCATTTTGGGCTAAGCTTGCTCCTCCTAGGAGTGCTCTGCAGTGTTTTCCCGTCTTTAACTTTTTTCTTACAGGTCGACACGCAGTAGGGTGACACGCAGTAGGGTGAACGGGTTGGGCCAACCTGTTCACGGCGCGAGATTTGGTTGTCTTGTCTGTGTCTGTCCGCTGGTTAGCCTCCCGGCTAATTGCGTTACCTGTTGCTTGTTAGCTTCAGCTGGACGCTAGCTTCTTCTCTCAGGAGATTGAGGCTGGATACCGAGCCTACCCAGGCTAGGGGAGACTGGGTGTTATGTAGCTCTAGCTGAACACCGTTGCTCTCCAGAAGTAGGACGGGTGATCACCGAGTCGCACCTTAATGTCCAGGCTTCGCATCCTAGCTAGCATACTCTCCTACTGGCACGAGCTGCAGCTGTTTGCTCGCGCCTCACTAATCTCGCGATAGTTGGGCAGTTTATTCTCAGGACCTCTCCTCACACAGTCTATTACTGTGTCAATTGAGTTTGGCTCCTCACATCCATACCTTTTGGGGATTGTGAGTGTAATTTCCCAAAATAAATTCTGATATCCATAGAATATATTATTACTTAATTCACATATTGCCCTGAGAACATAACTACTTTATACTTACACCTGGTATAGTATTACAAGGGGTGTTATACGGATTATCTGTTCTATAAGACATACACTACATGTCCAAAAGTATGTGGAGACCTGCTCTTCGAACATCTCATTCCAAAATCATGGACATTAATATGGAGTTGGTCCCCCTTTTGCTGCTATAACAGCCTCCACTCTTCTGGGAAGACTTTCCACTAGATGGTGGAACATTGCTGCGGGGACTTGCTTCCATTCAGCCACAAGAGCATTAGTGAGGTTGGGCACTGATGTTGAGCGATTAGGCCTGGCTCGCAGTCTGCGTTCCAATTCCTCCCAAAGGTGTTCGATGGGGTTGAGGTCAGGGCTCTGCATGCCAGTCAAGTTCTTCCACACCGATCTCTATAAACCATTTCTGTATAGACCTCACTTTGTGCACAGGTGCATTCTGAAACAGAAAATGGCCTTCCCCAAACTGTTGCCACAAATTTGGAAGAATAGAATCGTCTAGAATGTCATTGTATGCTGTAGCGTTATTTCCCTTCACTGGAACTAAGGGGCCTGGCTCGAACCATGAAAAACAGCCCCAGACCATTATTCATTCTCCATTATACTTTACAGTTGCCACTATGCATTCGGGCAGGCAACGTTCTCCTGGCATCCGCCAAACCCAGATTTGCTTGTCCGAACTGTCAGATGGTGAAGCGTGATTAATTACTCCAGAAAACGGGTGATTTTAGGC